GGATGAAATCGGATAGGGATGAACGGGTTTAAGAGTTTTAAGAGTTTAAGAGTTTTTAAGAGTTTTAACCAAATGCATTATAATATAGTATAGATTAATAAACCTTTTTATAAAAAAACATAAATTATTTTAAATAAGCAATCTCAAACACCTTTTTTTATCGAAAAATAAAGCAATTTTGGTTGATTTGTTTATTTGAATGCAAACGTCATACATAAAGAAACAAACCCCAATTCCCCATCAGATCTGCATTCTGTGGAAGCTCGCTCGTACTCCCATGGAGTTCTTTGACGAAGAAAGCAGACCCAGATTCCTCCTTCAATCCCGATCAATCCCCAAACCTACAGAAAACCAATTGCCCCTCGATGATCTCCACAAACCTACTCTCTTTGTTTCTCTTTCGCTATCTGCACTGCTCTTAACTCTCGCCCTCTTCTACTTTCAGTCCGATCCTCTCCAATCTATCTTCATCTGGTTCTCATTATCTCTCCTCGTCGGCCCCTTCGCCCCTCCCTCCCTCACCGCCGGCGACATCCGGGTCGGTCTTGGTCCGGCTCTCCAACCACAATCTCCTCGACAAAACCAAGAATCCGACCCACCAAAAAGGTCCAGATTCAAGCCAAAAAAACCCGATCAAGATCACCAAGAGCCAAGTTTCAATCCGATTCCCTCTGTCGTCGTAAAGGAAACCCCAAAGCCAGGTAACAAGACCGATAACGATAGTATCGTGGTGGAAGACAAGGATTGGACTGAAGGAGATCTGGAATTGTTGAAGAAGCAAATAGCGAAGCATCCCGTAGGGATGCCAGGGCGTTGGGACGCGGTGGCGGAGGCGTTTTCAGGGAGGCATAAGGTTGAAAATGTGGTGAAGATGGCTAAATCTATGGGAGAAAGGAAAATGGGCGATTCAGATTCATTTTCACGGTTTCTGAAAGATAGGAAGGCAGTGGACAAGAGGGTCGATGAGGTTATAGAGAATGAGAGGGAGATGGCGAGCGGTGGTGGAAGTTGGAGCTCTGCAGAAGATATTGCTCTGCTCAATGCTTTAAAAGCTTTCCCTAAAGATGTGGCAATGAGGTGGGAGAAGATCACTGCTGCTGTGCCTGGAAGATCAAAGGGGGCTTGCATGAAGAGGGTTGCTGATCTTAAAAAAGATTTTCGAAGTTCGAAAACTTCTTCTGAGGCTTAATCATTCATGGGTTCTTTAATCAATAGGTAATTATTGTATCAATCGACCATTACCATTTGATTCTATGCATTTTTGGTTCTCATATTTGAATGTATTTGATTTCTTTACTAATAACATTACATGTGGGTTTGAATGATATGATCCATAATTACATTTGGATTTGAGTTTTTTGGCTGCCTTGATTCTCTGCAATTGTTCCCCTTTGTTCTTGCTTCTATTGATTGTTAATAACTCCATTTGTATGCTTGTAGTAAATTTGTATCTATAGGTAATTGGTTATGTATGCCTTTGCTTCATTGATCCTCTATTTTGTGGCAAATTTGAATCTCTAATCATGCTGAGTTATATGACATTGTTGATTAGATCAAATTGGAATATGTAGACTTGCAAATTCATTAGTGAATATGGGTAGAGCTTCACATTGTTGGTGCCAATTAGGAAGACGATCGCTCAAAAAGGTTTCGAAGATCAAGTTCATATTCTTGCATTTGCCTCTCGGTTTCTGATCGCGAAGAATCCAATCTGTAATTATGGATATAGACCAAATTTGCTTAATATTCGCGACCGAAATTGAGTGCATTACTAGTGAATGATGTTGAGAAAGGTTATGAATAAAATCAAGTACTTATGCTCTCATTGCATCCATCCCAACCAATGAAGTCCCATTCTTAACTTTTCTTTGAAGATTAAAATTGAAGTTGCATTTGTATGAACTCTTCCACCATATCCTTATCTACTTTATAACCAGACTTGTTTCTGTTTGATGCTGCTGCTGCTGCTGCTGCTTCTTCTTCTTCTTCAATGCCTCTTTTTGGTTTTGTGTTTGATGTTTCTTCTTTGATGCTTCTGTTTAATTTATGGTTGATTTAGTTTGTTATGAACTTTTAAGGGACCGTTTACCAAATACTTACAAGGGTAAGTGTTTACCAAATCACATTACATTAACGGATGAATATGGAAAGGATAAAAAATCTTACCCGGTAAGAGCGAGACAAGGACCCAGAGTCTTACCCGGTAAGTGAGGGCAACGACTCTTACCACGGTAAGTCATGGACGGACCTATATATGTGGTATAGGTGGCACGTGCCACCGTATTATTTCTCCGCCGAAGGGTAAAAAAATTAGGTTTCGTGAATGGTGCAACCGTATTAATTTGTTGTGTGCCACCGTATGTATTTTGAAACTACAATGAGAACAAGTTTTATTTGGTAGAGTTGGTTTGCAAGACTTTTATTCCACCCCACACCAAAGTCCGAATCATGTTAGTGTCATTTTCTTAGTCAAACGGTGCCACCGTTTGAAAAAAAAAGTCCTATATTTTTTTTTCTTATAGTCAAATAGTGCCACCTTTTAAAAAAAATTCTGGGTCCGTCCCTGCGGTAAGTGCTTACCGGGTAAATTGTTGCATACGATGTCGTTTTGATAGACTAAAATCTTACTCGGTAAGTAAATGATAGTGTTAATTTTGTCGATAAGCGCTTACCGAGTAAGTGATTTGTAAACGGCCCCTAATTTGTTTATGTTTGATTTAGTTAGTATTTGATGCTTATTCGACTGGTTGATATGGCAGTGGTGGACGGTGGTGATGGGTGGAAGTAGGTTGATAGTGGGTGGTGGTGGATGTGGGTATGTGAGGTTAAAATCTATAAATAAAAATTGGAGAAAAAAAGACAAACACAAATGACAAAAAGGCAAAAGAGAAAATTTAATGTTAAAATGGAGTAAATATCAAAAAGACGGAAATGCCCCCAGGTTCAATGGTAGTGTAAAATATTATCGTAATATAAAATAAAATAACAAATGATTATTGAAAAAAAAATGTGTGCTTTTGCTTTTTGTGGACCGCAATCTATTCGTTAAGTATTCGTTAATTCAATATGGACAAGCCGATCACTTGTAAATGTTAAATATTAGATCTTTAAACTAGACATGGGCGAATCCGGAAATACGGCTTGAGAAAGTCTTTTATCACCACGTAAAGATTCGGGGTTTTGCATGATTTTAACTAAGGTTCAGATGTCGGTCGATGTTGGTGTCACAAAGAAATTTGGGGTAAAGCTACGTTAATTCGACAAGTCTTGAGTTGGCAAAAGTGGTGACTTTGTGGGCACTATTTATAAAAATTCACCTTCGAGAGATCTAGATTTTTGTGGATGTTAGTGACACTTGTTTATGACCATGAGGTTACTACAAATGTCTTAAATAATGCTTACACTCATACCCTTTTCTTTCAATTAATTGTCTTTACTTAATTGTTAAAATCATTCAAGCTCCCTCAAAAATGTTTTCTTCTTCTCTAATTGAAATAAGTGTATTCTCGACTTAGTACTCAAAACTTTCCCTGTGAACACGATCTCGGTATTTTACCAGTTTATTACTCGTAACGATCATAATATCAGCGTGCATTTGCACTACCACAGTGGAGACATTGTGTTCGCTGTGTGAAAACACACGATTTTATGCGATCAGTGGGCCACCTATCGTGATTACCTTGAATGTCCGACTCTTGATCATCGACAAAAGAAACACACAAGTACAATATGAGCCACCTTAAACATCCAAATCATCGAGACAATATCACGATCGGTGATAAAACTAAGCTCGAGCTTTATTTTCATCCCGTATCCGTATAAACAATTACTCAAACCGATAAAATATACCATTCATTCAAATTCTATACACAGTATTGCAACAATGCCGCTTATGCATCTAGTTTTTTCCCCTTAATTTTGCAAAAAAAAGACCATCTCCCTTCTATACCAGCAGCTATCAAGAAAGGTTAAGAGAACCTAATTCTACAAAAAAATCAAGAAGATTAAGAATCTAGAGACTCAGGTTTATGCTAGTTCCAGCTCTCCTTCATCTAAAATCATCAGGGGATGCACCGCCGCACTGGTCAAGTTGAGAGCTCTGCGCAGCTTTCGTGGGTCAAAAACTTCAACTTCGATCGCAAACACTGAACTAACTGGCCGATGATCAGACATCCTAATATCTGCTCGATCGTAGCTAACTTGTTTTATGCGTTTCCCTAACCATAATATGCGATCACACCTGCATATTTCAATCGACTCAGTACACAAATCCACACTTTGACTTTTGGAGTCAAAATGAACTACTTTTGAAACAGATTTTGTATGAGTCTTGTTATGGATTGTAATCCTAAAAACCTCCCATTTGTGGCATTTGTTATCATCTTTAATAGTACTTAAAAAGTTTCCCAAAATCATTTGATCTCGAGATGAAATTTTAATTTGAAAAGTATTATGTTTGACCTCAAAAAGGTCAAATCCTGGTTTTCTTGAAAAAGAGGTTGGTAGTACTACTTACCATGCTGGTGTTCTTCTCTTCTCTCCTTCTTTTGGATTTTCACCTACATATCTATCTGAGTTGACTTCATATTTGTATGTTGGAGGGAATTCAATAACCCCTTCGTTCCATCCATCGAAAACATGCCCACTTCGCAGTTCTTTACAAAGCTGCAACATGTAAAGCTTCTTACTTCGATATTCATGATAAATAACGTGATAGATATTCATGGCGAATATCAAGAATAATGAAAATGCATAATATTCATGAATCTTTAAATATATTAATCATGAATAATTTGTGAATAGTTCGGTTCTTACTGTTCTCAAAGTATTTACAATTTTTAAATGAACTTTCTGATCTTAAGTACCTGATCGCCATTGAGAAGTTCATCCCACTGCTTCATGGCAACAAGCTTTCTGACCTCGGCATCCTGCTTATTGATACGATAATTCAAGTCTCCAAACCAGAATATCTGACTGTTTGGCGAAAAATCGGATAGCTTTACAAAATGATCCCACGAATGGTTTGAAAAAAATACAACATAAAAGGTATCGGAACCTACGAAAGAGTTGATGGAATCATGGTTATTTTTACAGATTACTTACTCATGACATGGGATCGTTTGCGGTTGATCAGGATCTAAAGTGGACGAGAAACGAGTACGTTTTAAGATCTCAGATACATTCGAGTTGCGTCTCTCTTCATCCCCATCCTTATGTCCCGAGGTCAAATGAGAACAAACAAAGCATAGCCTTGTTTGGTAAAGAGACATGCTAACCGAAACCGATCCCTGAAACATATGTAAACCAACGATTACTTTTCAACTCTTCTGAAAATTGTGAAATCCTTCTGAAAACTGTGAAAAATTACCTTGTTACCCATGTATCCCATGAGCCCAACGCCGACTGGCGACACTTTTAAGTTGTTTATATGTCTTCTTAGCTGTTTCCGAACCCAAACTGAAATGTATATGCCCACCATCTGCTTACTAACGATTCGTACATACCTGATATATTTCCTCAACAAGTTAGTTGTACACTTAAAATTTGTAACAACACTTCTGTTTATATGTTGATGATCTGTACCTATGATGCGAGTTTTCTTGACCATCCAAGCACGCTTTTTCACGCTCCACTTCTGTTGCATCTTCAAAAGAATCATCCTCCTCTTCCAACACTTGTTCTGAAACATCATCAAGCGAATCCACCATATCGGTCCTTTCTTGCTGCTCGGTCCAGAGCAAACCCAAGTCACCCGAGCTATGATGCACCCTTTTTAACCCCCCGCCGTTATCTTGAGGTGCCAACCAATCAGAACTCACTCTTGCCGAGCTGCTTAACACCCTTCGTAGCTTTGCACCAGAAGACAGAACTTTCGGCTTTAGGTCCAAAGCAATTTCGGGCCAATCCAATCTATTGATCACTTTTCTTTCTGGAACGCTTATCTTGGTGGAGCCATAATCACCATCTTTGTTTGAGATGGGAGAAGTTGGAGCACTGTAGCTTTTCGGTATGGCCACTGGCTCTGTTGATCTGTTCAAAGCTTTTCGAATGATTGCTTCCCACTTTGATATCGGCCTACGAGTTTCAGCTCCCAAAACATTCCCAGCACTCAAGGGGACAACTTCCTGGAAACTGTAAAGATTTCTTGATTCAAGCCACTTACTTTCATGATTCACAGAGATTTCAACAAAATCTTTTTGCCGTTTTTAGTACATATTATAGATTTCAAACGTATTAATCAAACGAATCTTGAAAAACTTTCACATCAATTCTCAAGTTAAAATCCATCTGTTCAACCTCAAATTATGTTTTATGGAACGAATTATTACCCAAGAATGTATATATCAGCTGGTTGATGCATACAAAGCCACTTATCGATCTCAAGATCTTCATTTGGGAGCCTTCCAGCAACATTCCATGTTCCAATCGTCATCCTGCATAAAGTCACATGAATCTGAAAATCAATTTTCTTAGGAGCTTCGATTACAAGAAAGCCAGCAAACAACTAGTTCGATATCTAGAGCCAAACCTCACATCTTTTGTTTTAATATAGTGAACACGCATTGTCTCTGATTTCCCCCTTTTATGTTTCACAACCCCTTTTGCCGGCATCCCTAAATTTACAGAATCATCACAAAATTAGACTGTAAAAATCATCACTGCATCCGATCCGGTATTTGCATTTTCGTGATCAAAATGAAACCAAATACCCAAAAGAAAAAATTGCCATGAAGAAGATGGTTACCATCTGAGATTTGACTTGTACATGAAGACACGTTTCTCGGTATTCTACAAACATAGTTCTTATCAAAACGAGTTCTTTCATCTTTAAGAGAGCAAACTGGGACACAGTTCAAAAAAAGGAAGATGAAAAAACCCCGAAAGAGTGTCAAAATTGATTATTCTTTAACGTTTGTATATAACTGGTATACCATCATCTTCACTTTCAGCCTCTGTATCTACTTCATCTTCACTAAAGTCATTATGCTTTGGTTGAATGTTTAACCATTTCTTCATCACCATTGATGGCCAAAATGCCTACAAATAATCAAACCACCAATCATTACTTTTTGCCATTTTTGTCCTTCCAAAAGTAATAAAGATTACTCAAAACATACCTCAGAGTGCCTTCCTCTTCGGGTTTTCATCGTCTTAGAACAAAAGAAAGCGAAGAAAATTTGATGTAGATTCTGCAAGCACTCAGGTGTATGTATGTGTGTATATATATACATACATATATAGGATCCCCTCCATGGATAACAGGATGGCCCGCAACTTGGTCCAGTGTATCTTAATCGTTCATTTTTTATCTAACGGCTGTAAGAAATGCGGTATGCATGCACAACTTGGCTACATATTGTTTATTCTTGCAAACTGTAATGTTTTTCCTCTTTTTTTCGCATTTTCTTACGAATTACATTTTGTTTGTAACTAAAGGACAAATACCATTGTTCAAAAGATCATAATGAGAGTATTCTATGAAAGTGATGCCAAATAGAAAGGACATAAAAATTATGTTCAAATTCCACAAACACCCATAATCTCAATTTGCATGAAAAGTCAAATTTGACCTTCTCTTCACTCGCACCTAAAAGTTTCTAAAAGAATTAAAAATAAAAACATAATCTTGTTGAATACAGAGAGAACACAGCCCACAAGTCCTGTTAAAAAACTAGACATCACTTTCACTACAACTAATATACAGTATAGCGATTGATGGATGGAACACACGCTTAACTTTCAACAAGAGTGTATTGGGCCACATAATCATTTGACTTTTTAATTGCTTTCTAGATATATAACTACACTTTGACATGCAGAAAACTATGGAACTCATCTGTTCATTAAATGATCAACAGTATAAACTTAATTTAGTCCAAGAAAGTTACCGATTTGGGACTAAATGTCATTGGATCAACAGCACACCAATGATATCTTGATCAAGGTGGCGATCAAAGCTTATGTCAGATCATCGGTCAGGCTACTACTATAATTAGGTTTAATTAACCAGAAAATCTAGCCAAATGTTAAAGAATTCCAATCAATTAGACTGAAATACATTTGATTAAGACAGAATAATATAAGTAATGATAAAAATAATGAAAATATTGCATACCACCATGACAGTAAAGATTTATGAAGACCCCACTTGCAAAAAAAGCCAGAGGTAGGCAAAAAAAAAAAAAAAGATACAACAACACATTATCATCATAGCAATCTCAAGTCAATTGGGTGTATATAAAGCATATCAAATTGCACAGCTGTATGGTCTGTGGCAGGCCGGTGTCATCACACACAGAAACACAAAAAATGACCCTTAATTATAAAAAGCAATTGAGGACCCATAAGTGAATCGGTTCAAAGAAAGTTCTTGAGAGCACTATATGTGGATGTTGATGATTGAACTAAAAAGGGAGTTTTCTTAAAACCCTTTTCTTGAATGAGAAAGTGATTTTTAACAACTGTGAAAAAAATAATAATCCTATTGCTAATCAATGATATCTTGGAGGGTAGGGTTCAAATAGAGAGATCCTTTTGTTCGAATTGCAACATCCGTAAGTTCGAATCACTTGATGACCTAGAAAATTGAGGGGTTAATGGGAATGAAAATGAATTGTTCCAATAAATACAGAACAGAAATCAAAATCGAAAAGTACTTATGACAAGAACATACGAAGGTGGTGGGATTGTACCTTTTTTCCAAGAAAATGAAAATGAAAGGTATGATAAGGAGTAAGAAGACGCCAATTTACTCCAGGAGTGTGATAGCAACAAGGAGAGAGTGGAGTTGGGGGGGCTCACAATCCATCCGATTCTGATAGATGAAAGAATGGAATGCTGAATGCTAAGATAAAAAAGGAAGAAGGAATGTGCGAACCGGCATCAGATTCTGGTCCTACCGGATTTCAGTTATCTTGAAGTTGCAGTAACGATTATTATCCTTCGCTGCTATGATTCGTTTTGTTGTCCGCTGTCGGCCTTCTTCAGCAAGCGATGGCCGTTGATATACCATGACATGTGATAATACTTGTGGTGAGGGGGTCAGTGGTGTAATGCCGACTTGACCCACCCAAAATTGTTCGCGTCTCTGATTTATATTACATGCGTATAATATGTGATGAAATAATAATATCACATGTGATTGTTTATAATAAAAAATGTTCTTGTATTCTCGTAAAATGAATATGTTCTCGTTTGAACTCTTCCCTTGATTTGAAATTCCAAATCCATTCCATTCCTTCAAACCAAACTCGACATAATATTATTGTCTTATTGAAAACGAACTTGATTTATCGTTGTATTAATTTAATGACATACTACAAAACATTGTTGTATTGTTGATTACTTAAAAAAACAACATGGAAATAAAAAACAACAACGAATATAACACAGTGTCCCATATAATTTATAACCATTAAATTGACACAAGAAACTATTACTTCTCTCATCCCTAATCAAATTATTTCGTTTTTACAACTCAAACCTACCATACCAGTATATAAAATTAAATATCTAGATTTTACCTTTCAACCTAAAACCAACAACATACAATCTGCTTTTTTCACTATATAAAACTCTGATTTAAAAACGATTGTATAACCTATTTTATTCAACTTTCATACCTATAAAAATAGATTACAATTTAAAATGTACACCAGTCTTATTTTTCTGCTTATTTTTGTTGTTGTCAAGTGATGCAACATATTCTCACTTCCAATGAAAACAAGGGTTAGAGTCCAAAGCCAAAATGCAAATATCTTAAGACTCTATTTTTTAAGAATTAAAAGTGACTTGTACACTATGCAATAGAAATTGTACATTGAGTTTATTAAACTAATATGTTTTGGAATATTATTGTAAGCAACTTGTTGGTGAACATCTACTTTGAAAATGACAACAATATGTATACATTTTGGTTCTTGATGTGTGCAATACTCTTGATTTTGATTTATCAATACACGGAAAATGAAATCCACTCACCAACCCTCTTAACATGTCTCCATCCCTTTGCAATTTATTAATAAAATACAGAATAATATTCGGTTCGTTTTTTTTACTGAATTATACGTTGCCTAAAATTTGGTTTAGAAATCATTCAATATCTGTCACTTTCATTGTGTAAGATGTGTTTAAAACGTATGTATGTAGACACTTTTTTAACATCGTTTATGATTCATATCACTTTTTAACGTCTAACGTTGTTTGTTGACAATCAAATATCAAAATAAATCCATCTTTTTCTCTTTTTTTGACATTTTAACTTGTAATGGTTTTTTGACAATTAGGGCATTTCTTGAAACCAATGGATTTCGAGATAAGATTCCCTTTATAGTTGATCTTGATAATTGATTATGACAATATCATATTAGTAATATTTGTCTCGTATTTTTATAGAGATGACATATGATTAATTATAAAATCTCTTATTCGTCAATTTGTAATTTTGTTTCTTTAATAATATTTTTTCGTATCAGTGTTTTCTGTAGTGACTTTTATTCTCCTTTTAACATACGATACCAACAAATATGCATAGATATAACAAAAACAAAGATGCTTTTTGCAAACCCCTCTTCTTTTTCAACCCTACGATTATCTTGTGTTTTCACTTCTTTGCGGGAATCTTCTTTCACCAAATTCAATAATGATTTTACAGTCTCGATTTCGTGTCAAAACATGTTTTTTTTCCATTAATTTGTCATCTTGTGTTTTCATATCTTCACCTGTTACGTCCTACTTTTCTCATTGATTGTGATGTCTACTGAATAGATGATCATAAACATCTAAAGACATCACAACGGGAGACTTCAGTGTGCTTAAATAATTCAAACAATTGGAATACATGTCTACACCTAACACAACTTAACTTGTAACATAGTTTGAACTCAAGAAAACGTTTTTTTAACACATAACACACAGACATTCTCCTCACATTCGAGTTTTCAGTTTTCACTGACCCTAAGATACATGTCGATAATCAACTTGTAAAAGTTTAAGGAGGTCATGGTTTCATGACAAGCAGTTCACAAACATTTTTATTAAACATATGGCATCCAAGATCCGAACATACTTTTCATAAACAGCATAATCTGAAACATATGCATAAAGTCGGCTGCTAAGATTTGAATATAAAATGTTGTGAACTATACGCATATACCATGCTAAGCCTTGTAGGAATGCAACATGAATATAAACAAATAGACTTTTGAGATATCAAATCAGAACCAACATGGTGGGGCCACACACTTCTCGTCACCATTGTCCTAGTTAAGTGCATAAGCATCCTTGTGATACATGAACTATGTCGTATAACATGAATATTAGCATCTGAGATATCGAATCTGAATCGACATTGACAGGGTCACACATATTCTCAACCTTGTCCTGGTTAAGTGCATAGGTATCCTTGCAATACATGAACTACACCATATCTGTACTAACCAATTACATAGATATCCTTGTGATATGTCTATTGACTCATGGCATCAATTGCAACGTCATGAATGACATCATTTTCAATTTTTCATGCGATAACATTTTTTCAAAAATAATGCATGTTTGGCATTCGCAAAATTCTCAAACATGTAAACTAGACATTTAGCATCTCAAGTAATACAAATCACATATGCATGTATCCCAGTTTGAGAAATCACATGAAACTCATGTCAAATGCGTAGGTTTATCGAGGTTTGCTTCACTGCTACCTACACAAGTTAACATATACCTTTTGTGGTCTAACGACCAACTTGCAAATGGAATTGTCGTGCGTAGAGATGCACATGGTCCGTGCTTTTTGAGTTGGGTAACGTCAGGATTTTGTCTAAAATAATGCGAACAAGGAGCTACATGGCTTTCCGGGTAGGATTTGGTGTCAAAAAATAACCTACAAATTCTCTATTTATACCCACTCACTCAAATTAACTTTCTCAAAAATCCCTCGCAACGACTAGACATTAAGGGTAAAATGGACATTTTATATAATAAAAAATGAAGTTAAAAATAAAAGCAATCGGTCTTTTTGGTTTAAAAAAATGCCACCTTTTTAGAAAATTCTAATGGCTATAATATTATAATAGCCTTAATTAAGGAGATTGAGATTTTTCTATAGAAAATCTTGTTATTTAATTGAAAAACACTTTTTTTAAAACAGGCCTTTTGAGCTGGGCCCGGCTTTTCAAGCTTTCAACGGCTAACTTGACTAGCTTTTGACCTGTCTTAGATCAGGCTTTTCCATGCTTGAAGTAAAAACTGGGTTTTTTCTTCAAGTTTTTTAGGTTTGAGTTTAAACTCGAGTTTGGGGTAAAAAATTCGGCCTCAATGGGCTTTGAAGCTTAGCACTGGCATCGGGCTCATGCCTTTTTGTGCATCTCTAGTCGTTCCAAAGCATACTGCGAAGGTCAAATGGCCATGCAAATTTATGCACGTGCCTAATATCAAAGGTATTTTGCATGGTAGATCAAAAGACTATCTTTTTTGGTTTTTAATACAACTTTGTTCAACATTACTTTACCCAAATCACTTCCTTCTTTTTTGTACAAGAACACTAATAACACATATCACTAATACGCAAAAACTCAAAACCATGCTCTAATACGCCATTTCTTTCCTTATTCTCTACACAACTTCATTAACTGCGTTTCGTACCAAATACATAGCCTTAAGTCCTGCATTTCAGGCCTAACTCTACACCAAACTTCCTTACAACATCATGTGCTACACGAATATATGTTTAATTACGAGTTTGGTATGAAATCATATCTAATCCCTTAATAAACACTGAGAACTTGTTTGATTTCTCCAAATTAATAGGAAAGGAAATGTCATTGTGTTTATGCTATGTAACCTACTCTTCATGCTCCCTCTCAAGCAATGTTGCATACAATGTCGTTTTGGTAGACTAAAATCTTACCCGGTAAGTAAATAATAGTGTTAAATTTTACCGGTAAGCACTTACCGAGTAAGTGTTTGGTAAACGGCCCCATACTCTCATGTGCACAATACATGTTCTCTGGAAACAAAATCATTGATTCAAGTATGGAAAATTTAAGTACGAAGAATTTTTCATATGAGGATA